ATCTTGTACCTTCCCTCACTGTCCTTGACATGATTCTAGTGAAAAACTTGTGTCGTTTGTTCAATCAACTCGGATTCAATGGTGCATGTTCAACGAATTCGAATCTAGTACAATCGATGGTAATTTTAGTGACACGTATTCATCCTATCCAAACGCTTGGAGAACAAATCGTGGCAATCGTTTGTTAGGAATTTCGAGTGGTTTTGAAAAAGAATTCTGGTGGAAGGTCGGTGAACCTTCACTTTTCCACTTTTGTTCCTTCTATTTAGCTTGAACCCCCTTTTCTTCACTTTTTTTCTTTTGAATCTTTTCTTTTGAATCATGAATTACTTCTCAAACTTTTATTTATTAATCATCCGATAAAATTTGGTTCTTTCCCCAATGAACTTCGACTTTGTTCATTAGAAGCTCAAAATTCGAAAAAAAAAACTTGAAAAATAAACAACAATCAAAAGGTTAGTTCAAATGAGGTACTTCAGAGAGCCAAAATTTTTTGATTGGTCCTTGGCCATATCTCTGTCTACCATAAAACAGGCAAGTGGCAATCCTACGATTTGACTGGCCTTGGTTAAGATCGGTCGTTATGATCTAAACGGATTTTTCCTCCTTATCACTGACCTTACGGTATAGAAATGAAATTAAAGGCACAATTCACGATGAAAATAGTTTATGGGATTTCCCCATGGGATAAATTTAAGTCCCCTCGTATGCCATGTCTGGCTCTACTATATCGGAAAACGGCCTTGGCTTAGGGAGTTATAAAGGCTCAAAGATTGGCGCATGTGTATCCTCGGATGAGTTTCACCGGCATTGTAGAGGCTACACCGATCGCAAGGGAACCCATGTAAGAAGTTCAAACAATTTTTCATGACCCATAACGACAGTGAAAGACAGTTCTATACAGTTCTAGCTTGATGTAGCCAGCTCTTCGTACAATTGCAATAGCTGAAATCTCGTCTGAATACCCCTTCTATCTTATTTCCGCCATAGACATCTTGCCCATCCTCTAATTTCCTTACTTTGAGGTGCCATATTTTTCTCGAAATCGGAGAATTCTCTGGCTTTCTTCACTACCGATGACCTATTCTTAATCTATACTTCCACTTTTCGAATAAAAACGGGTACCTCAAATTTATGAACTGAACTGTGCCTTCAAGCTGGCGTACATTACCTTTGCCCCTTGACGAGGCTTTGAAACTTCTGTCATCACGACTATCTGCGACCCGCAAGGCCCGCCTGTCTTAAAAGGTGAGCTCATCGTAAGGTGCGGTGCAGGATTCAACAAATATGTCGACTAGATTTTGCTTATATTTAGTAGTAAGCAAACGCACGAGATCTCTTTGGCTCCTTAGAGTTTAACTCTCCCTTTTTTGGTTACTTCTGTTCATTATTCACTGTTGTTAATAAGGTCCTTGGAATTCCAAATCTCTATGACACATCGGTTTGTCTGGCTCCAGCTGATAACTCTATCCAATTACAGTAAAAACTGTTACTTGAACTGAATCTCAAGTGGTATTATCGCAATTTTTATGAGCAACGAAGACGTAACACTTGTTGCAATGTCCCGCTGATAATGATCCTAATGTCCTTATATTGTCCCGACTTTTTCTTATCATCACTGTTTAATGGCCATTCCGATGGACTGTGACGATCTAATGGTTTGACATCACAACATTCTGATCCCTCAGTTCCATCGTCCCATCGAAAAATTCAATGTTTCATGTTCATTTTTGAGATTTTCAATGATTTTACTTTATAACTTTATATAGGTGATGATATTCTTATGCAATGTGATGAAAAGTAATTGCATGTATGTTATTATATACCACATATTATACACTTAGCCTGTGACTTACATTGTAGGAAAATAAATAAGTAAATAAATAAATAAATAAGCGAATGAACAGATGGATAACCAAATGAGTAATCAGATATTTCGATAAATGATCATGTAATGTAATGACAGCTGGCAGCACGGAATTTCATAAGAATGGAATGCCTGGCTCCGACGAATTCTGTAAGCCTCGGGCTCAAACTCTCAATCTCCTGCTGCTTATATCTTATCTGTACAGGCGACGTATTTCTCCCTATTATTCATCATTATTCTGTTCTATCGGGTGGAGGTAGCGTAGCGGCAAGTGGCGCACTATCTCACACGCACTGTCAAGGGTTCGGATCCCTGATCGATATCCGCCTAAGCCAGTCAAGCCTTCCATCCCTCCGGGGTCGGTTAATTGGTATCAGGCTCGTCTTGGAGGATATAAGCGCTGACTTGTACATCGGCTGTCCACCGCAAGTCATTGTATAGGCCACATACGCACTCATTACTCCACTACGATTCTGAGTAAAAGTCGAATGCGTGGGCGCAGACGGGATTGTTAAACGCCAAACGACTTTATCCTTGACTTTTTATCCTTTTATACTGCTCTAATATAGTTACATTACTACGCCTAATTTGGAATACCAAGTCCTTCTTGAATTGATGGTTCTGACAGTTTTTAAAAGATGAAAAAATAGGTCCCACAAAGTTTGTCTGTAGGAGTAAGACTTCAGGGTTGAAATTCAAAACCTTTCCAGCACGGAACCTCTTACCCCGAATTTTTATTTTTTCTATTTTTTTTTGAAAGAGCTTCTTTATGGACAGGTTGCTGTTTTTCCGTGTTCTTTTTTCTGATGATCTTGATGTCGGAAAACCGGCACCGGCAGTAAAGCACGATCATGATAATCCTCTATGGTGACTAGTTCAGTCACCACAACCTACAATGAGGTCGCTCATTTCTATATTTCGAGCAGTTATTTAGCTCGTTTCGAGAATTTGCCCGTGTTACAATCGACATTCTCGTACGACCGAGATCCGAATCTACTGCTGCATACCATTCGCTCCTGCCACACTCAGATTCCATAGAACAATCGGACTTTCAGCTATTTCCCGTAATGATGTAGATGAAAACAAGCATCCCAGGAAAATCCCATAGGGTTGAAGTTTCCGATTCTCAACTTTGAGCGGTTATTGGGTGAATATATAGGCTATGATGAACCCAAGCCACTCTTCCAACACTCAGGTGCAGTTGCCCTTCTAGACAAGTTCAGTATCATCCGCTAGCTTTCCGGTAAACAAACTCTCGGGCCGGCCGGTTTTTGGTGCTCCTTTTTTTTCTAGTTCTTCTCATGTAGCGGTAGCGATTCTAGCCGTAACCTCAGCTTCGTATTTTCAGAATTTCTACGTGATTCTCGTGTAACTTTGCTTTTGATATTGAGTTTTTATAGTGTTATTTCAGTAATCGAAGAGCCTTATTTTTAGTTTTCCTTCAGCAGAGGGGCTTCCAGCTGGTTATGAATTCCCATTCACAGCCATTTTTTATACGGATTCGGGCGTGGCCATGATTCTACAGACTGATGGTTCTGTACAGATATCGATTCATCCATCTGAGTGTTGAATCATCAGAACAGTGCCATGTGCTTCTGTTTATCTAATTTTTCATTTTTTCATTAAGAGTTACTCATCTTATTAGATTAGCCATAAAACACAGTTACCTGATACATTACCATGTTAGTAGGTAGTTCTAAAGGCCGAGACCTTTGTGGTCCACTTGGACCCTTTCCCTTATGGGGTAGCGACCAGTGAGAACCGTCTCGACTAAAGTTCTGTTTGTTGAAATTTTAAATTACCTAGAAGCTAGCGGCTAAATTCCAAAAAAAAACTTGTAATTCATGAGTTTTGAGATGTTTTGAACTATTGATGGAGTCAAATTGATCCTCGGAGTTGAAGGTCGAGCTCTATGGTATCGAATCGCATGACTTAGGATGATTAAAAATTGCCATAAAAAAGGCCTAATTTATTTTTGGGAGGATATGGTGTTATGGCAAGTGCACACTATCACCGTGCCGTATTCGATATGAAGATCGAATCTCTGGGCGGTACTCGATAAGCCCAACCGGCTTTTCAACTCTTTGGAATCGGTTATTTGGTACCACCCTCGTCTGGGGGCATGAAAGCACTGATTTGTACATCGGCTGGCTAAATATAATAGTAAAGGAAGTAGACGTGGTGTCCAGGTGTTCTTTACTTGTTTATTTGTTTATTTCTTTTACACGCTCCAAGCGCTATCACCAGATATCTAGTTTTCTGAGGGTTTATAACAATGTACATATCAGAGAAGTGACATGTTTCTCATAGATTGGCGCCTTTATGATAACATAGATCTATGGAATTTCGAGTAGGATTATAACTCCTGAGGTAGCTTCAAGTTGTACGGTAGAGAAGGTGGTATGAAGCTGGACAGTTGAGATGACCATCCGCGAAGGGGTACTCACTTCCCACAGTTTGCGGTCACGATGGACACTCTGTACTTCTGCTATCGTATCAATGATTACAAGGAATTGTCGTAAAAGTAGGCGACACATGAGGAAGACCGCAATAATATAATCACAATCGGAGCAAATATACAATGTATATGGTCTTATCACTCATCTATCACTCCCACACAACACGTTACTCAGTTTATCACCTTGCAATGTTCGGTGTGGCAGCCCATTCCCAACAATGAGGTCATATTCTATTCGATAAGTCTGAAATCAGATCAAAGTCAGGTCTAGTCATGAAGTTGTGACAAGTTCACCTAAGGTTTCCGCTAAAATCTTCTGTTTTATCGTTTCCATTCCCAGAAGTCCTCGCCGTGGGATGCGCCCGAATGAGCCGCTTCTCCACTTTTCGTTTGAACTCATCCGAGCTCCAGAGAAGGCATTAGGCAAGAGCATAGTTCGAAGCTCCGAAATCCGACCACAATTCTTTTTTTTCGATCCCCAATGTCGAATGATCCGTTTTTTCTCCCATGCAATATCTGTCTTTCATCTTTGACTCTGATATTTACTTCACCCAACAGGCGTTTACCATCACCTATAATAATGACTAACTTCTTATTTGATCGAATGTAGTCAGTGCTTTGACTTTCTCAAATCGATCACAACAATGAGCTCCCATTCAATGAGTTCAATTCAGAATGAGCCAGCATGACCGGGACTCGCCCATACGTCAGAGCTACGATCTCACGAAGGGACTCAAGGTGCGTTTTTCAAAAAAAAAATCAAATCGGTGTGTTAGTAGAGACTAGTCTATATTTAAAAAATATATTGGTAGGAAGAATTTCCCTGGAAAAAAATCAATTATGATAACTAGGAACCATATCAATAAGGGTGGCCATTTGTTGCAAAACGTGATCAAACGGTGTCAGGCGATATAGAGGAATTGCTTTGGAGTAGGACATATCTTCTAGAGGGAGTCATGGGCAGTGCTCCTTCTGGTTTAAACCTTCACCTAAGCCTGAGAATCTGGGTAACGGTGAGAAGTGCTATCCGTCCCAGGCATGCCTTCCCTTACGTGGGGCTGCAATAAAGATTAGTTCATTCCGCACTTCCGGAAAGTTCTAAAAAAATAGCACATCTGTGACAGCTTGGATCCATTGAGGATAAAACCTGGTTTAAATGAACATAATTTGCCCGGAAACTCGTCCTTATGTGTTCATTGCTTATAGATACTCATTCTAGCGCTTCACGGATTGGAGTGTATCGGACACCGAAAGCTTTCGATCGACAGAAAAGAAATACTCACTCGTTACGAAGATGATTGCCGAGTTTCTTGGCGATTTTACTTTCGTTTTTGTAGGTATGATTACTTTGCCAAATAGAAGACAAAATTAGTTTCTATTGAATCTACCATAATTGACTAATTTACTTTATAATTGACTATGGTAGAAGTGAATGTCTTTTTCTTATATGGCTGATCTTATGAAAATTCCGAAGTGAAGCGACAAAGAGGGGCTCGTGCAGAACAAAAATTATATGCATATTGCTGTTTTTATTACGTATGTGGACATTCGTGGCGAACATTAAATTTTATACAGTCAAAANAGAGGGTTCCTTTTATGACGTTTTTGAATATTTCAGTCGTAATCATCATGAGATCATCAACCAAGCTTGTTTTCTGATGAATCGATCATTCTCTGAAGATTCTCTCGAAAATTTTCAATATACAATCATAACGTCCCTGAAAGTATCTAGCTGAAGGTTAAAGTGAACGGTCACTTCGGCTATCCTACCTTTCGCCACGACCGATAGAGCTTTGAACGTAATCAAGGATGGCATCAGTTGCTTCTACTCGCTAAGAATTTGTGTGGCGACACTATGCGAACGGCAAGGGAGAAAGGCATTCCGTCCAATGAATTCACTAAGTTCATGTCGATAGTTCCGAATTGACTTTCCGCAGGGCCACGCTTAGCCCACAAGCAGGTGCTAAAGCCAAAGAAACCCTAGCAGCTTATACTGTCGTGGCTCTACACACACGAATAAGAGAATAATTAAATGAATGAAAGTCTTTCAGCGCTACTTTTGGCTTCCTATGTAGAAAGCAGCTCAGTTTCCAAGAGATGACCAGGGTTTTCTTCAGTATTGCTCATTTTCAGGAACGATGCAAGCGGTTGTGGTGACGGGTTCAGGAAATCAAAGTATTGTTGCTGACAATATTGTTCATGCAGCATTGGCTCACGGCTTCACAATTTTTATACTAGTTGCGGCTTTAGGACATATAAGGTGAGCCCAGATCGTAGACAGTGTCAACTCTGCAGTCGCCGCTTAATAGATGGGCCTCAAAACAAGTAACTAAAATGTAATCCTTGGCTGAGCTGCCCCAGTCAGATAAAAAATAACAATACTGCTGTGAAAAAGGGTACAGGTGGCCATCCAGTAGATGGCTCACTACCATACGCTGAGAAATTATGGTAGAGCTGAGCTGTGGTTGTCTCAAGTCTCAATTCATACTGGAAGGTGGCTGAAATCATAAGTTACTAGGGAGCCAGGGAAACAAATCTTTGCTCTAATTTTGAGAGATTTTGGTACATTGAGCTAATTTTATAATATTTTTGAGTGCTTGTCTTGAGGCTAGATGCGGGCGGGCTTCTGCCTGATGTTATATTGCCTGACGGGAGGCAAATGCGAACAACTCTGTAGTCAGGCTGAGATTCTACTCATAAATGATCGCCAAGACGGGAGTGGATGAACCGATGGTCTTGCTTCATAGGATAATCAATAAAAACATGATTTGAACATGTAATCGTCTCAAGTAAAAAGAAAAATGTTGTTCAAAGTCAGAAGCACGGCTTACTCCCAAAAAGACTGTTCGATTCCATGCACTTCACCCTTCGTTACGTTGATCGCTAGGCGTGAATATTCCAGTGGTGGTCATTTCAATCCAGCGGTTACATGGGCAGTTGCAGCAGCTGGCAAAATGCCAATCTATCATGTACCGTTCTATTGGTTCGCTCAACTACTTGGAGGTTTCTGCGGGTCACTGTACTCTGTTGTGAGTTTCACTTTGAGCTTGAGCGGTAGAAGAGGAAAAATGACCTTCTATCCCCTCAGATCCTCTCCCGAATGTTATTATCATTTTGACCTAAGCTTTAGTCGTTCTTGCTGTAAGTTCTTCGTAGTCGATTATGCATTGTAGTTGAAGTAAACGTGACTTTAAAAACGAAAATGTAGGGTGATTCCGCAAGTTTAGAAGAATGTCTGTGTGATCAGTTCCCCTTACCAAAAGAATTACCTCACTTTAGCTTATAATGACCCAAAAACAACTTGACGGTTCTTACGCCGGTGCAACGCTGCTCAATCCGGACAACAAATGGTGGGAAGTAAGTTTTACTCGACCTTTTCTATATATCAAACTTCCATAGCACGAACCTATCACAGTTTAATTGTTTGTAAACAAATGCTTAAACGATACTGTATCTCCTGCAGGGAATGATGAGTGAAGCTGTCGTCACATACTTCCTTTGCCATACGATACTCCTCACTGCGGCCGACACTAATACCAACATTTTGGCTCCATTAGCCATCGGTCTAACACTCAGTATCGATATTTTATCAACGTGAGCGGATCCGTAAATGACATGGAATACGGTGATCCAGAAAAATCACCTTTTTAGTGGATCGATTACCGGAGCGTCAATGAATCCAGCACGATCTCTGGGACCAAACATTGTCGGCCAGATATTCCTTGATTCGAATTCGATCCCGGCACATTTTTGGAGCTATCACTACATCTACTGGGCCGGACCATTCATGGGCGCTACTGTAGCTGTTGTTCTGTACAAGTACGTTTTTATTACGATTATTGAGCGTGAAAAAATTGCCTTCCCATCTCAAGGTAAGCTGTCGCGTTCTGTTCGCCATGCTACGGTGGTCACAGTAACATAACATAACGTTGAAGGGGATATTCTAGAGATCTTCAGAGCTTTTCAATCGGAAGCTTCATACTTTCCCTTTCCATAACATACTCATTTAGGAGGAGGAAAATTGCCTCTTAAGTGAATATGTTATGAAAAGGGTATGAAGCTCGAAAGGGGGGAGGGGAAGGAAAAAAGAGGTTGAAGAGGGTGAAATTTCAGCTAGAGAGGTCCATGTCTTGTTCGTCTTCTGAAGAGCTTTTTGGTTCTTCCCAGTAACGCCTAGCTCCGTAGACGCTCAACCATCTCTACATATGGAGAGTAGTACAAATACGTGGCGCATTCAGAAACAAAACCTATTCTTCTTAGTCGCTGAATTTCGTTCAGTTCACTGTTTTTCAGGCTGTTTGAAGCACGAGAGAATCGATTGCTCAGGTGATTGGACAACATGAGCAACATTCATCCTTTCCTACTCCCTTGGAACCAAATTGTCGTCACAACTTTTCTCATTTTACTTGTTCACATCCACTTTTTTTCTGGTGGAACGACGGCATTTTCATAGTCATTAATGTATGATCATTGTTAAGACTTTTCCAAAGACTTCGATACATATTATTATTCATTAACCCTGAATAAAGAACTCTATCTCGTCCATATCGTCATCCTCGAGACCGCCTTCCTATTAAAGCACGAATTTGACTCAGAGATAAGGTAGAGTTCGAGGCCATTCGAACTATTCTTCTGTGGTCTTGAGCTATCAAACTTCGAGGTTGTCCCAGTACTCGAGCTGAGCGGTAAGCATAGGGATTTTGAATGAATTTTCCAATGCATGAAGGAGAGCGTCCAAGCTGACGTGCGATTTGTCTATTCGAGTGTCCGGCCTCATGAAGAGCCCTGATTTGCGCTTGTTCTTTTTCAGAGAGAAGCTTACCACAAACAGGCATGATGACAGATCGGTTTTTAAAAAAATGACCGGGAACGCTTCGGAATTTTTGCGTCAAAGTCGGATCTAGTTCGGGTGTCCACATACTTTTGTTACAAAGAAGACTTCCCCCTCGAATTTAAACAAAGTAAGAGCTACCTAAAATTTTCAGAAGAACAAGTATTCCTAGGTTTCTCGCATTGCAGGATTCGAATAGTAAAAGTTTTATTGCTCAAGATTCATTTGAATTAGGAGGGCCTGGCTTGAACAGGGCCATACAACTGATATTCAAAGTGAAGTAATGCTGACAGTCACACCTTCTAGATTCTCTTACTGAGTAGGAAACCTTGATGTGAGGGAATGCTTTGTTTTTCTTGCATCACAGTCACATTTATCGACCTATATTACTGATATTGTCACTTTATATCAGCCTAATTTAGCACGAAAGTCGTAACAGATCGCACTTATCCAAAGAAGCGGAGGAATTGTTAACAAAGGAAATCAGGCTCAACTAGTGTGTATGCTTTTTTTAACTCACAACCAGTAATTCAATAAAAACAAAACAGTATTGTTGCCTAGGAGTAACGACAGTTACGAAAACAGCTTTAATTGGCAAAAAATAGCTCAGAACCTTGCACTCTGGGAAATAAACGGTCTGTGTTGAGGTGGCTGAGGCATAGATCTTATGAACGGGAAGAAAGTTCCAAATCCTAGGCGTGTAAACAGCGTTTTGATGAGGCGAACCCTTTCCGAGTGCCTCTACTAACATCGTTTTCTGATATTTTCCGGAGAACGTCCGTTGCGCGCGTCCGTCAAAGTAGGTCACCCCGCCCACTCCGCGCGTGGCGCACCCCAGCCGAGGACTTGACGTAACATTACAGTACCACGAAGTGTCAGTGGAGCGAATGATTTGCATTTGTCCGTGTTATCTTCCCTTTGGCTAACTGCTGCGGACAAAGCGCAAATCGTATGCCCCACAGACAACTGCGACGTTTGTCAAAGATCGCGGGGTGACGCGTCGCATGCGACGACTGCGGCGTGACCTAGTTCTGAAGGACGCGCGCAACAAAGCGCACCCGAATTTTCCCAAATTACTTTCTGATGGAAACGAGCTGTGAACACTTTGCAATCCACTAGTAATCCACCAAAACAAAGCGCATCTCACTCTATGAAAGTTCAATTTCTTCCTTCTGCTAGTTTGAAGTCAGTTGAAGGAAGCCTGTGCTCTTGCTCTAGAGGTCCTCTACAATGCTTCACAAAAACCTGTGGGAGACTGGGCCGATCCATGGCTTGTAAAAACGATGGGTCTGTGTCCTTATAGAGATCATTTCTTTGATCAGCGATCGACTTTCATCGATGAACAGGAAGAAAGGCTGGCCCGAAACCTGACATTTGTCCAAACGACAAATCTTCCGTACTGGTGACAGCGTCTAATTTTTTTTTCAACCCGAGTTTTTCTTTATTTTTCATATTTTACTTTCTTTTATTTCTATTTTATTTTATTTCTTATTTAAGATATCCTTTACTTTTTCTGTGTTTTTATTTTGCTTTTGACATGTTTCTTTATTGTTTTTTTTAGCAACTTTTGGTATTTACATGTCATGCTTTCACGTAAAACTTTTTCATTCATCCCTACCGTATATCAATTTTTCAATACTTGTGATACTAGTTTTACATCCTCCACAGCTGTACATGCCCTGTACATGCCCGCAGAGTTGTTTTTCTAGAGGAATCATCTTTTTAATGATGTTCATTGTAATTTTTATGAACTGGTATGTCGAGTGCTACTCAAAGTTCTGTAGAGCTCTCCAGTTTACTTTGGAACATCGATACCGTAACTCGATAGTATTGTACGAGTTTGTGCTGTTTTTTCAAGATAGACATTTGCTCTGTTGCTTTGAGAAAAACCTTTCGATTTCCCAGGAACTCCGATATTTCTTAGTCGTATTTGCATCGGAGTGGGGGTACTTTTTGGGTATGCAGGCGATGTTCTTTACCTGATGATATGGCAGAATTCCTATGAAGTGCTCCGCTGTGTGTTGATCGTCTGAAAGATCGATGTTAATGGTCTTACGTGGTTCTGCCTTCTGTTTCCAGTTCCTCCCATTTTCTTTTCGCGTTGATCCGGTGCAATCCAGTAAGCTCCGATGAAACAGCTCGAAGTGTTTGTGAACAGCATTCGTTGAGCTAAGACATTCTTCATTTCAGAACCGAATTCAAATGACCACTCCTAACAGTTCAGACACCCAGGCGAGCATGAACGGGGACTGCTATTTTAGCCAAGGAGTAGGACGTGGGAGGCAAGAGAAAGACTCGCGGTCGATCCATTGAGGATAAGTCATCTGCACTCAAAAGGTATGGTTTGGTGGAATTAAAAACATATATTCACCTCTTTAATATTCGTCTCCGTCCCAATAGGGGACGAGAGCGGTGAGAAGGCCAAAACACGCGTTGTTCTCTACCTAACGGTCATTCTTGTCAATCTGCTCGAGCGGTATATCATTATTCTGAGATTATTGCAGTCTCTCCCTGGCATTACTACCCATCGTTTTTCACGCCATACAAGTGGGCACCTTTAGTTGGACCGGTACCAATCGCAAACTGTTCATACACCCATGGATGGGTATGCCTGCAAAGAGGATGAAGGCACAAACTGACGGAGCATATCAGAAGCATGGAGGTATAGTCTGAGCCTGCGTCTCTGAGCAAAAGCTGACTGATAACTTTCGCTTGGCTACTTACTCCTAGTGGCTATCTGGGGTGCCCTCCGTCACCTATAAACGGATCTTTAATTGCACTGGGCCGGTTGAAGATCCTTTATAGAGAAAGCATCGCCAATGAACAAGACCAGCGGAGAACTCGATGTACTCTGGGATAAAACTGTATATAAAATTGCAAAAAAGCAAGAATTCCAAACTGGGCATTTCACCAGAACGACTTCTTGCGAATCAAATTCAGTTTTGTGGAATCTGTTAAGTAGCTGAACTATCGACCACAAAGCACAGAGAACCATACATACCCCATTGACCTAGCTAGATTTAATCTTTTTCCCTTTTTTCTTCAAAATTTTGAAATTCCACTGTATCGGCTCTTATCCTCCACACTGTTACCAGAAGTTCTCTTCTTATTNCAATATCCGCAGGCAAAGAACTCAAGTTACTCTGGGGTAATACTGCAAAGAAAATTGCAAAAAAGGAAGATCCGAACTGGGCTTTACAGCAGAGCCACCTCTTGCGATACAAAAACCAGCTCTGTGTGGCCTGTTGAGTAACTGAACTACTGACCACAAAGCACAGAGAACCATACATACCCCATTGACCTAGCTAGATTTGATCTTTTTCCCTTTTTTCTTCAAAATTTCTTTGAAATTTCACTGTATCGGCTCTTATCCCCCACACTGTTACCAGAAGTTCTCTTCTTATTTCTGCAGAATTCATTCACAAGTTCAGTGAAATCCTAGAAAACTAATAGATTTTTTTTTAGAAATAGTCGGTACATGAGAAGTTTCTCCAGACTCGAAACTTCGATATACAGAAGATCCAGCTGACTCGGAAACCCCACAGCTGATCCTGCTTTTCAGGTGAGTAACTTTGTGTCGAACCTTTAGTCAGACCATAAACCGCAGATCTGTGAATCAGGTAAGTTTTTTCTATGATTTTTAAAAGCCCACTTTTCGATCGCTCACCTTCAACAAGCGTCACTTGGTGGCAAGCATTATGTCGGAGCAGATTACTTGTTTCATCAGCATTTTTTCTACAAAACCAGAGTTCTCTTCTAGCCGAACGGGAATGTTGGTCCTTGCCAAATTATGAAACTTGGTCTTTCGTTATTATACTTCTACGACTTATGTTGACCTGAGAAAGATAGCCCGGCTTACTTTATTCCTTCTCTTTTCTTACATCTCCTCAAATCGCTTCCTTTCTCTCTCTTCACTACTGATGAGCAGAAATTTCAAGTAATTATATCACTCTTTTATGAGTTTTGCTTGAAAGGCAACCACCCTGTTTGTAAGTCTCTGATTCAACCCCCGCATTAGGCGGGGTAAATATTTTTTCGCACTGAAGAGGCACAGACACAAAACCGCTTACCTCCACTAATCATTGGCGAGTTTCGAGATTGCCATTTCTGAGCAGCAAAGTTCACCTGTATCACCTGTCGTCCCGTTGATCATCGATTTCCTTGAGCGGGCGCCAATAACGTCTCCATTCGTCCCTGTCACGAGCCAGAGTGGTCCAGTGCATCGTCCTTGCTTTAGGAACACGAGATCCAACATTCCTTTCGTTCAGAGCTTTCATGAAGGAGTCTGACCATCTCGTTGGCGGAGCTCGTTTGATGTCCCGAGGGGTCCAGTCAGTAACCGTCCTGGTCCAACGGTCATCACTATATCGCATGTGTCCGGCCCACCTGATCTTCGATTTCTTGGCGTAATCAACGGCATTCCTGATCTTCGTTCGTTGACGGAGCTCGGAACTCGGGATTCCCTTCTGCATTTTCGTGTACAGAGAAACTCCGAGCATCGTCCTTTCCAAAGCGCGTTGAGCAACGCTGACAGCATGCTCATCCTGCTTTCGTGGAGTCTAAGTCTTTGAGAAGAGACAAAGCAGGAAGGACAGCAGCAGCAAACTTATCTAATAAAAATAATTGGATTAGACCAAAAATTGCGTCACTAAAATGCATATATGTACACAGGAATACCATTTAAAGTCTTTATTAGCTATCAACAAAGTGAGCATGTTGATAAACATGGGAGGATATAATACGTACAATCGATGGAAACCACGGGGTCAGGTGATGGAATGAGGAACATAGCATTAAGAGGGCAAAAGAATACAGTAAGAAACTAAAAATACCGATTTGTACAATATGGGATGAAGGAAGGATTACGAAGCCATTCAGACCATTCAGTTTCATGAATACATTCATGATGTGTCTGTCAAAAGTTACACTCTCCACTCCAAGACTTCGGATTACCATAAGAAGATTAATGGATGAAAGAAAACGACAATCTGTTTAGTTCGCTCATACCACACGATCGCCTTTGGTGAAAAACACCCTGAAAAGATCAAAAGTTATCACTCAGTATCCAAATCTTGAATGATGGTAGAATGTACGGTAGTTGACTGTAGAAGTAAAACGGCAGTGGGCAAACCATAAGTATGTTGATGAGGAGAGCTCGTAGAACCCTAATAATGCCCATCCTTAAAAGCTGCTTTTTGCTTTGTACAAGAAAAACTCGATTAACGATCATATTCTCAGCAAAGCTAGTGAAGTTGCAGTAAAGCTAGCTCCATAAGCTCAGCCTAACCCTCCAATCTTTCCGGGATCAGTTAGCAAGTACCGAAATACTAGACCGCTTCAGAAGTGTCCTCAACCTCCTGGACACTGAATTCACCAATTTTTACCCTTATCAGATTTTAAAGAGATTGTCAAAGTAATTAGAATACGATATAATTCGGGCCTATTCTCAGGTCTTGATTTTAATATCATATTGGTACTTTTTGCTCATAAGACTACTATGGCGTATGCGTTATGAAGCTCAACAGTTCGCCAAGTTCTCCCATTTGATGAGCCTGTTCCTTCTGCAAGGCGAGACTCAAGCACGATGGCTCAGTGGTATAAGGGCCCGTCGAAGCACTCGGTGTCTTCACTAGGTTACCAAAACAAATAGCTCAAAACGGGGAGGCGTACACCAGAACAAAATTTGGACAGTGTGTTGGACGGTTAGGAAGCAAACTTCACGCATGGGGCGACCAGCACATTTTCGTGGGAAGCCTCTAGAGTCTTTTATCTTCGCGGATAGCTTGTTGTTGAGAGGGGACCTAAGCCACACCTTGATGGTGAAAACCTGGTTTCTAGTTATCGAGAAGTTGCGCACATCTTAATGTCAGTCTTTACCTAGGTATCAACTTTGGCAATTTGAAAGAGAACGTACCTGTAGAGTCCAGCAGCCAACAACGCACCAAATATGGGCCCGACATAGTAGATCCAATGTAAGGTCCAGAAATTGCTGGCAATTTTATTGTGCATGAACACCATTGCCACAATATTCGGCCCAAATGATCGTGCCGGGTTCATTGATGCACCAGAAATCGCTCCACTGCAATAGTAAAATCTACAGGAATTGTCCCGGGCTCGAATTCTACACCTTCTCTTCTCTGGGTATCCCACTCTGAGAATCAGAGAAGCACGCGGTCGCGCGGCGGCTGGGGATATTGGTTGATCGAGATAAAAACTGTTACTTTACCTACGGAAGTTAATCTTAGAGCGAGATCCGTAAACTGTTTGGTTTTGGGTCAACTTCAAAGCCATGAGGTTGCGTTCATACTAGGCCACTTGCAGCTGGCGGGTGTCAAGATCTATGGCATTGCTGGACCAAGCAAACGCTACTCTACACGGAGATAAACAATTGCGATTTTGACTTTGAAGTATCCTGTCTGAACGCGGTATCGTGCCGCTCGCGCGACAAAATCGCACGTCGCTCAGGGAGCACTGATAAGAGAAAGTAGAATGCTGAGAAAATATTATGGAGAGCTTACACCGCCATAATGTCCATGAGAACCGTGAAACCAATAGCAAGAGGTGCAAGCACAGTCGATGCGTCAACGGCTGTCGTCAGTACCGTTTGTACCAGGAACAACGTCGTTAATACTTCAGCAATAAGACCCTGGAATATAGAGATGTAATCGACGTGAACTTATCTGGATAGGACCAGCCGGGAGTTACAGTGATAAAATTCAGTTTCAAGGGAACTTCACGTTAGCTTTGGGTAAGACGATCGTAAGAGGACACAGGTGGTAACCCTGAAGTAGGGCTTTGAAAGTGACGGAACTGGCTCTCACATGAAGCTGGTCACTTGAATGTTTAGTCGCGGGTGTCAGTGGCCCGCCAATGAATCCAAAAAAAAATAAAAGTTGCTGTAGGGGAAATGCCGCAGTCTCCATTCCCACAGTTGGTTCCGCGATCTAAGCCAATCTGCTCCAATAAACAGCTCATCTTTACCTATGCCACGGTCGACGCTGCTCAGTCCGCTGAGGTTTCAACCAACGTCACACCACCTTAGGTAGTAGGTCCCCAACCTCAACTTCTGCGAACAAAACCTATCGTTGTATACCGTCTGTTTTGGGGCGAAGCTTCGGCAAAGAGACGACGAGAGAAAATATCGACCACAAACTTTTCCCAGAAGGATTTTTCCATTCTTCTCTACCAAAAATCACATACCTGGAACCATGGGGTTTCAGGAGCACACAGTGTCGCACCTCCTTGTATGGATACGTATTGTTCGTATGACAATACACCCTTGAAAACAAGATGTAATTTTTTTTATAAACTGCGAGATTTAGATTCACCTGGTCGAACAAACATTTACTAGTAGGTTCCGGATCCATTTACTGAAGTTTTTATGTCCTAAATGTGAATCAAAAGTTGTACTTACCCTGACAAATAGCGCTCCGACAGTTCCTCCACACAACTGTGATACGACATAGAGCAAAGCATCTAGCGGTGGAATCTTACCAGCTGCAGCTAATCCAATGGTAACAGCTGGATTCACGTGACCTCCACTGGAAATAGCCGAGGCTTTCATTCCAACTGATTCCATAAAAATTTAACTGAGATCGTTCTAGGTGACCACCTCCCCCACATTGACTCACGGTAACTTCCTAACGAATGATGCTTTTCTGTTTTTTATATATAGCGAATGAAACGACACGACTGATTGGCCAAATGGCTTCACCTCTCACTTATCCTACTCACTATGAAGCGCTTCGTCTGTCTGTCTGTCTGTCTGTCTGTCTGTCTGTCTGTCTCTCTGTCACGAGATTCTTTAGCTCCTTTACATCTGCCTGGAGAGACCGGGTCAAGCGTGTGGTGGGTGATCATGTCCCGAGAAGTATAAAGCACCCATCAGCTTGGCGGAGCCCCACCTACAGCGGGCGTGGCGTGCATCGAAATGTGCTGTACTGAGGACCATGGTTTCAAATTCAGTCACAAGACGGCTTCAAAAACGGGGTGCAAAGGTGGCTAGAGGTGTGCATTGGTAAGTTAGATTCAAATGGGAAGAAACACCCCCGATGGGCGCGGCGTCCTCCAAAAATGCAATGCTTTATGAAAACATTTATAACTCGGTTTGGAGAAAGCCAACAGAGCAGAAGCAAGTTGTCGTAGGAGAAGCATTGTCAAAGCTGTCTCCAGCATAAATGACGTCAGCGAAGGCCCGCCTACAATGGGCGGAGTGTGCCTCGAAGCTCACATCCCTCCTTACATTTATATACAAAAACCCATAACTCCTGTCCCCGTGGACCTAGAAAGTTCAAATTTGGTAGGAGTACAGGCTACAGGATGGGAACACTTATGGTGGTGGCAGGACCAGACTCCGCCCAAGGGGGGGCGGGATTTGAGTGGAAACTCATAAATCCGATAAAGGCCTATAATGAAAATCAGCTCATGCGGCTCCGTCTCTCATGGCTAGAGCCCCTAGCGCACGCGATAGCGTGCGTGGTTGCCTAGTTTTCAGAATATGGAAGAATGTTTTTCGTTCAAAAGGGAGTGCCTGATTTGCCATACCGTCTGAGTTTTCCTACACAGCCTCAATGACAGATGAAAAGCAGATTCTCATGATGAAAGATTGATAGAAGAATTAGTGATCTTTGGGTAGCGCCATGAACTCGGTTCTCACTCAAAGTGACCAAGGCTCAATCATATGCGTCTCCTGCTACCCCGCTGATCATTGATTTCCTTGAATAAGCTCCGGTAACATCTCTTCCCATCCCTGACATGGCATTGTAAATCACTAAATCTTCCTCGGCGAGTTCTATCTTCGTTAAAGTTTTGCAGGTAACCAATCAACTTTCCCTGCTTAACAGTCGTCCCGAAATCGTACGACATTCCGGTTCATCTAATCTTTGGATCCATGGCATACGTGGCGACGTTAGTGGTCTTCTTTCCATTGCGTATTTGGAACTCCATAGTGCTCTCTGCTGTACATCTGTCGAGGATATGCAACAGTGGCTCATCCTTATTAGCCACAGTTCAGGTCTTTGAGGAGTAAATCAGGAAAAGGATTGACAACAAAATCAGACGTTTGAAGACAGGACCGAATACTCTTTGTCTTCGTCATTACTCCCTCGACATTCTTAAAGGCGCAGTTCACGATAATTTTAAGGTACCCGTTTTTTTTCGAAAAGAGTAAGTATAGATTGGGAATAGTTCATCGGTGGTTAAGAA